AAGCCACGAGACACGGGGCTCAATTGATTGATGCTTGGTCAGCCGGCGCTCTCAGACCGTGGTCAGGCACTGTACCGGCGCGCCATGGCTCGGAAAGAGTCCGCCCCTGAATCCCTGCAACACTGGTGGGAAGGAGTCGTTTCCGCTTCAGTTTGCCTGAGCTGGAAGAAGCTTGAAGAAGATTGAAGGGGTTTGTTTGGAGCGTGAGGTTGGGCAAGTACGATGCAGCTCTTGCAGACGTCGACACACTCCTTCCTCTGTTGGCCACGGACTCAGCCGACAGCGAGAGCAACCATTGCGACCCAGAGCCTGAAGACGAGGTCCTCAACCCTAGGCACTAGTTATATAATTGCATAGAGCACGCCTCCACGGTCCGGGTTTCGGCCCCTTGCAGTCGGGTTCATCGTGTCGTCACTTCCTCCATCGGTTGAAGGATCTCGGGATTTGGAGATCCCGCACACGGCATGCCACGCCGTCCCTGCCCCCTGAGCCCAGGACGAGAACAACAGCAAGGATGCCCAATCCCTGCGAGAGGAGCTTCTCAGGCTCTGTTTCCTTGAGTATGATCGTGTAGGGTTATAGAGCGCTGCAGAGATGGTTCCGGTGCTCGTGCAGCCCAGCACCTCAACTCAGCCCTGAAGCTCAGAGCATTAAGAACTCTAAGAAATCCTAAGTGATTGTCCGCGGTGAAGCTTCTGCCATTTCACCGTGTTGCACTCAGCCGATCAAGTAACCCAGAAATTAACCCTGAATCCCCAACCCCGCTACCACGTGCTCGGTGGCCTCGCCGACCCTTCGCCGTTTGAAGGCTGAAGCCCGCCCCTGCCCCCGTTCAGGAGGTGCGGCAGGCGAGATTTTGTTTTTCAAGATTTTGGTTGTGCATTTGGGGTTCCAGGGTTACGCGGCCGTAGTGACGTAGTGCGAACTAATGCGATATGCAGCAGCAGCAAAAAAAGCATGGCAACTCCACCGCGGTGTTGCTGAAGTCTTGGGAGCAATGCATGAAGACGGTGGTAGGGTGCTCAGACAGCCAGCACAGGCGGCACAAAGACCAGAGCTTTCCAGGGACCCCCGCAAATTCCGAGTAGGAGCCCGCGCAAAAGTTGACGCGTGCGCTATAACACCCCCCGTACCATTGACCGTGAAGGCAATGAAGCATGCACTTCACTGAATCGGGGTTGGCATGAACAGTCATCGGTTCAGAGCCGCTGCCAGGTGTCTGGTGGGCGCAGCAGCAGCAGCAGCACCACCACCACCAGCACCAGCAGCACCAGCAGCAGCGCCAAAACACCAGCACCAGCGCCAAATCACCAGCACCAGCGCTAAACACCAACACCAGCACCAAAACACCAACACCAACACCAACACCAACACCAACACCAACACCAACACCAACACCAACACCAACACCAACACCAACACCAGCACCAGCACCAAAACACCAACACCAACACCAACACCAACACCAACACCAACACCAACACCAACACCAACACCAACACCAACACCAACACCAACACCAACACCAACACCAACACCAACACCAAAACACCAACACCACCACCGACACCGACACCAACACCGACACCGACACCGACAACCCAAAACCCACAACCAACAACCAACAGCCAGCAACCAGCAACCAGCAAGCAACAAGCAACACGCAACAAACAACAACAAACAACAACCAACATACTCACCGTTTCATCCTGAAACAATCTTCTAAACATCTTCTAAACATCCTCTTCGGAATCATCGAACAAATGGCTCCCCACCAGCAGCATGGGCTTCTAAACTCACAGGGAGAGTGGTTTGTGGCTTTGTCGGCGGTTTCTCGCGTGCCCCGAGACCCCACACACGGAGAAAGTGCTGAAGTGTTTCGCAGGCCTCCGAGACACCGCCGGGGTTCAAGCGAATGCAGATCGTCGAGGCGGCCTCCGCCCCTTTACATTGTGGGATTCGGGGAGCCAGGACCATCTAGGACCTGGGGGCTGGGAGTGGGGGTTTAAGGGCGTGCCAACAGTTTCCATAAGCTTCCATGAGCGCAAGCTGCCAAATGTAGACCCACGAGAGGCTTAGGCCTAGGCCTCATGTCGGGACCCAAACTTCAAATGCCCGACCACGGACTGAGAGTGGAGCACGTCGTGCTCCAGGCCAGTGACGATGAGGATGAGGAGGAGCCGCCAAAGGTGCTCCCCTTTGCTGGTTTGTGGAAACTCTACGACGGCCTTTTGGGGGTTTGGAGGGCTTCATTTAGTTTAGTTTTGTGTCGGGAGTCTGTTTCGAAGTCTCAGACCCTCGGAAAACCTCTTTGCAAACTTCCCAAGCCACCAGGCACCGGCATCTCCGGCCAAGCCGACAGAGGCCAAGGCCGGCCAAGCAGCCCCGACACTGTTGTCGACGGGATAGCTCAAGGCGTTGGCGGAGCTTGGGCTGTCAAGATGGCATATGATGGCAATTGCTAGGCACAGTAGTTTGGGCAAGGTTCGTTTCTGCGGTACTGGTAATAGCTGGTAGGTCCTGCTAGGTCCAAGAATGACCTGACCTGCGAAGCTCGGACGAGGCACCGGCAGCCGCGAAGCCCGCGGAGGCCTCAAAGGCTGGACGAGGGTCCTGGAAGTCTCGGGTGAATGCATGCCAGGCTTTTCCAACTATGACATTTTGCCGGCAAGGGTTGGTGAGGCTGCAGTCACTGCACCCTCACGCATACGAGGGCTTAAGGGCACGCGCAACCTCATGCCAGGCGCCTGCCGAGCCGTACGCTGACATCAAGTTGGAGCCGAAGCCTCTGTGCTTCTGAGGTTGGTGTTCTTTTTGCGCGTGGCACGTGTAGATGTCGTGTGCCCGTGCCAAAGCCTTGTCTGCTGAGTTTTGAAAATTAATGCCCAGCTGCCAAGGGCTTTACACGCTGGACAGACCCGCCCAGGTACAGTGTCGATGGCGCCGAGAAGGCGGACGGTCAAGCTGCATGTCGAGGGTTGGGCTTTCAACAGTTTGCCGGTCTATAACCCCGTCTGGGACTTCAGTAGTGTAAGCCCTGTCCACTTCGAGCCGCATTTCAAGCAAGTCCTTTACGCATCCTGTACACAAGCTCTTGCGATGTGGTGCAGGGCAAGCAGGAGGCCAACCGCCTCTTCACCGAAGGCACTCCAGGGGCTTGGGCTGTAGGATTCTAGCCTCGTGTTTGTTTCTATTAGAATCTAATAGTCGTAGTGGAAATTGCACTTGCACTCAGAATTGTATGCGGTAGTGTACTTTGAAAACGTACTGCAAACTGTACTTGTACTTTGCAATTGTACTTGAAACCATACTTAAACCCTGAAAATAAATAATCATTGATTTACAAGGTTTGGTTGTCCAAAAATGTCATAATATTAGATTTTCAATCTGAGGTCCCTCATGACGGAGCAACTTCAATGATGACAGTCACATGTTTAAGCGCTTTGGTCTTTTCTTAGGGTTCCTGTGGCTGGCCAAAGGCAAACTCGAGGAGTCCGCAAGGCCGTGGTGTTGAATGTAGGGTCGGGGGGTGTTTGGGGTTATTCGCGCTTCATGATGCAGAGTTTGTGGCTTTGTGGAAGTTAGCAGGGGTTGCGAGGTTTCGAGGCTTTGTCCCCTGGCATTGAAGAGCTTGGGGCTAAAGGGGCGCAAAAGGCCGTTCCTGAAAGATCCGGCGAAAGGGCATCAGGCACAGTGTTCGGTTTTTTTCGCATCTTGTTCGAAGTCTTCGACGAGTTATGTGGTGGAGTGTTGAAGGGGCTTCCAGAGTACCACGAACGCTGTGTATCCACCTACATTGTCCACGCCGTACGCTCAGCAGGTGGCGACTTACCCAACATGCTTTGGCAGACCCAAACCTGTGCCAGCACCTGTTCAACAGCAACTCTCCCAGCCCTTGTGGACCCGAAATGCTGGTTCCTCATGTTCTTGCGCTTCGCTGGCAGGTGGTTCTCCAAAGCGATTTGGCTTGTCGAGGAGTCGGGGAAGGTGACGGGAGCGGAGGCCTCGGGTATTCCAACACGACCGCAACCTGCCACGGACTTTGGACAAGGCTGCCCAACTTACTTAACAAGCTCGCGGATTCCGCACCAACACTCCCGAGCACGAAGTTCGTCTCGAGGTCACAGCAGCTCTCCGGGGAATCCTGCGTTCCAACCGCGTCGCAGGGCTGCACTTAGGAGAGGGCTCGAAGGGCTCCATGGGAAATGGGGCTCCGGGTGGTATCCGCATCTTTCGTGACAGCCTCTGATAGCCTTGTGCTGGGCCAAACCTCGCGACCTTATCCGCAGCCATGGTTCTAATTGTGAAAGCGCAAAGACGCCGGCCCGTGCGCACCGACAAGGGAAAGACAGGGAAAGTTAGTTCGACAGCATACCCTTACCTACCGGGCTCTCCAGACTTCCCACAGACATCCTGAGCCCTACGGACCCTGAAGGCCTTCGCCCGGATTAAGCTGCGGCAGTGGGCAGAGGCGGAGTCGGATTGCAGCGAGGCGGCGACGGGAGCCTGGGCCCAGTTGTGCGTGTTGTTCCAGCTGTGGGAAGAAGGGGTTTAGTCATAGTCGGGAGAGGTCGGAGGTCTTGGAGATCAGATGATGAAGGATGATTGGATGATGAGGGTCTTGGGCCCTGAGTTTGTCGGGATTTGGGTTGAGAGCCATACGAAAGACCGCGCAAAGTCAAGGAACGGTCGAGCGAGTGTGGCCTTGGGCTTGGGAGTCCAAGACTAAACCACGAGCCATCACGAGCCTCCCGCGCGAAAGGCGCTGTCACTGAACGCTTCGAATGCGAAGGCGCGCTGCCGGGCTTTTTGGGAGGCGGCTTCTTCGTGGCAGAGGCTTGCTTCAGGGCTCAGGCATTAGGGGCTGCACTCGGGGTGTAACTAGATGCACGTTTGGCTCCCCATCTTCAACGTATGGAAGCCCTGCCAGCAGCTGGCAAGCGGTCTGCGAGCCATCTCAGCCATCTTCGGACCCTGGTCAGGCGCTCTACCGGCGCGCCATGGCGCGGAAAGAGTCCGCCCCTGAGTCCTTGCAAAACTGGTGGGAAGGAGTCGTTTCCGCTTTAGTTGCCGGAGCTTGTTTGGAGCGTGCAGGTCAAAGCAGCTGTGTCCTGAGGTTGGGCAAGTACGATGCAGCGCTTGCAGATGTCGACACGCTCCTTCCCCTGCTGGCCACGGACTCAGCCGACAGTGAGAGCCATCATTGCGACAGCCCCCAAGACGAGGTCCAGAACCCTGAAGGCACTTGTAAATTGCATAGAGCACGGTCGACTTCTTCTGCTTCGCATGGCTTTTGGGTTTTGGCCCCTTGCAGTTGGGTTCAACGTTTCGTTCCCCCGAGCCCAGGACCAGAGCAACAGCAAGGACGCCCAATCCCTGCGAGAGGAGCTTCTCAGGCTCTGCTTCCTTGAGTATGATCGTGTAGGGTTATAGAGCGCTGCAGAGATGGCTCTGGGTGTCTAGAAATTCAGTCCCGATGGCCTCGCACCGACCCTTTGTGGCCTCGCGCCGGCCCTTTGCCATTGGAAGGCTGAAGCCTGCCCCCGCTCCCGTTCAGGAGGTGCGGCAGGCGAGAAACTGTTTTTTTTCCAAGATTTTTGCACATGGGGGTGAGGTTTACGTTTGAGGTGTTTTGGTTCAAGGGTTACGCGGCCCACCACCAGCAGTGACGACGACAACAACAACACCAACAACGCCAGCAGCAGACGCAGCAGCAGACGCAGCAGCAGATGCAGCAGCAGTAGCAACAGCAGTAGCAACAGCAGCAACACCAGCAACACCAGCACGGTGGCGGCGGCCGCGGCCGCGGTGGCGGTGACAGCGGCGACAGCAGCCATCAGCAGCCATCAGCAGCGGCAGCAGTGACTGCAGCGACAGCAGCCACAGCAGCGACAGTAGCGACAGCAGCTTCTGCGTGCCCCGAGACCCCACACACGGAGAAAGTGTTTCGCAGGCCTCCGAGACACCGCCGGGGTTCAAGCGAATGCAGATCGTCGAGGCGGCCTCCGGCCGTCGCATTGTGGGCTTCGGGGACCTCGGGGCTGGGAGTGGGGGTTGCTGGTGCTCAGCCCCTGGTCTCGCAGAGATTGCTACTCCCATGCTTGTCTGTGCCAAAAGCTTCCATGAGCTTCCATGAGCTAGGCCTAGGCCTCATGTCGGGACCCAAACTTCAAATGCCCGACCACGGGGCGGACTGAGAGTCTAGGACGTCGTGCTCCAGGCCAGTGATGATGAGGATGAGGAGGAGCCGCCAAAGGTGCGCCCGCTATGCCGGTTGAAATGCTACGACGACCTCCCGGGGTTTGGAGGGCTTCATTTAGTTTAGTCTTGTGTCGGGAGTCTGTTTCGAAGTCTCAGACCCTGGAAAACCTCTTTGCAAACTTCCCAAGCCACCAGGCACCGGCATCTCCGGCAAAGCCGACAGAGGCCAAGGCCGGCCAAGCAGCCCCGACACTGTTCTCGCCGGGATAGCTCAAGGCGTTGGCGGAGCTTGGGCTGTCAAGATGGCATATGATGGCAATTGCTAGGCACAGTGGTTTGGCAAGGTTCGTTTCTGCGGTACTGGTAATAGCTGGTAGGTCCTGCTAGGTCCAAGAATGACCTGACCTGCGAAGCTCGGACGAGGCACCGGCAGCCGCGAAGCCCGCGGAGGCCTCAAAGGCTGGACGAGGGTCCTGGAAGTCTCGGGTGAATGCATGCCAGGCTTTTCCAACTATGACATTTTGCCGGCAAGGGTTGGTGAGGCTGCAGTCACTGCACCCTCACGCATACGAGGGCTTAAGGGCACGCGCAACCTCATGCCAGGCGCCTGCCGAGCCGTACGCTGACATCAAGTTGGAGCCGAAGCCTCTGTGCTTCTGAGGTTGGTGTTCTTTTTGCGCGTGGCACGTGTAGATGTCGTGTGCCCGTGCCAAAGCCTTGTCTGCTGAGTTTTGAAAATTAATGCCCAGCTGCCAAGGGCTTACACGCTGGACAGACCTGCCCAGGTACAGTGTCGATGGCGCCGAGAAGGCGGACGGTCAAGCTGCATGCCGAGGGTTGGGCTTTCAACAGTTTGCCTCTGTAACCGCGTCTGGGACTTCAGTAGTGTAAGCCCTGTCCACTTCGAGCCGCATTTCAAGCAAGTCCTTTACTCATCCTATACACACGATGTCGTCACCGTGCTTTGCTCTTGCGATGTGGTGCAGGGCAAGCAGGAGGCCAACCGCCTCTTCACCGAAGGCACTCCAGGGGCTTGGGCTGTAGGTTCTAGCCTCGTGTTTGTTTCTATTAGTTTTCCAATCTGAGGCCCTCATGACGGAACGATGACAATGATGACAGTCAAATGTTTGAGAGCTTTTGTATTTTCTTAGGGTTCCTGTGGCTGGCAAGAGGCAAACTCGAGGAGTCCGCAAGGCCGTGGTGTTGAATGTGGGGTCGGGGGGTGTTTGGGGTTATTCGCGCTTCATGATGAAGAGTTTGTGGCTTTGTGGAAGTTAGCCGGGGTTGCGATTTTTCGAGGCTTTGTCCTCTGGCATTGAAGAGCTTGGGCGAAAGGGGCGCAAAAGGCCGTTCCTGAAAGATCCGGCGAAAGGGCATCAGGCACAGTGTTCGGTTTTTTCGCATCTTGTTCGAAGTCTTCGACGAGTTATGTGGTGGAGTGTTGAAGGGGCTTCCAGAGTACCACGAACGCTGTGTATCCACCTACATTCTCCACGCCGTACGCTCAGCAGGTGGCGACTTACCCAACATGCTTTGGCAGACCCAAACCTGTGCCAGCACCTGTTCAACAGCAACTCTCCCAGCCCTTGTGGACGCGAAATGCTGGTTCCTCATGTTCTTGCGCTTCGCTGGCAGGTGGTTCTCCAAAGCGATTTGGCTTGTCGAGGAGTCGGGGAAGGTGACGGGAGCGGAGGCCTCGGGTATTCCAACACGACCGCAACCTGCCACGGACTTTGGACAAGGCTGCCCAACTTACTTAACAAGCTCGCGGATTCCGCACCAACACTCCCGAGCACGAAGTTCGTCTCGAGGTCACAGCAGCTCTCCGGGGAATCCTGCGTTCCAACCGCGTCGCAGGGCTGCACTTAGGAGAGGGCTCGAAGGGCTCCATGGGAAATGGGGCTCCGGGTGGTATCCGCATCTTTCGTGACAGCCTCTGATAGCCTTGTGCTGGGCCAAACCTCGCGACCTTATCCGCAGCCATGGTTCTAATTGTGAAAGCGCAAAGACGCCGGCCCGTGCGCACCGACAAGGGAAAGACAGGGAAAGTTAGTTCGACAGCATACCCTTACCTACCGGGCTCTCCAGACTTCCCACAGACATCCTGAGCCCTACGGACCCTGAAGGCCTTCGCCCGGATTAAGCTGCGGCAGTGGGCAGAGGCGGAGTCGGATTGCAGCGAGGCGGCGACGGGAGCCTGGGCCCAGTTGTGCGTGTTGTTCCAGCTGTGGGAAGAAGGGGTTTAGTCATAGTCGGGAGAGGTCGGAGGTCTTGGAGATCAGATGATGAAGGATGATTGGATGATGAGGGTCTTGGGCCCTGAGTTTGTCGGGATTTGGGTTGAGAGCCATACGAAAGACCGCGCAAAGTCAAGGAACGGTCGAGCGAGTGTGGCCTTGGGCTTGGGAGTCCAAGACTAAACCACGAGCCATCACGAGCCTCCCGCGCGAAAGGCGCTGTCACTGAACGCTTCGAATGCGAAGGCGCGCTGCCGGGCTTTTTGGGAGGCGGCTTCTTCGTGGCAGAGGGCTTGCTTCAGGGCTCAGGCATTAGGGGCTGCACTCGGGGTGTAACTAGATGCACGTTTGGCTCCCCATCTTCAACGTATGGAAGCCCTGCCAGCAGCTGGCAAGCGGTCTGCGAGCCATCTCAGCCATCTTCGGACCCTGGTCAGGCGCTCTACCGGCGCGCCATGGCGCGGAAAGAGTCCGCCCCTGAATCCTTGCAAAACTGGTGGGAAGGAGTCGTTTCTGCTTTAGTTGCCGGAGCTTGTTTGGAGCGTGCAGGTCAAAGCAGCTGTGTCCTGAGGTTGGGCAAGTACGATGCAGCGCTTGCAGATGTCGACACGCTCCTTCCCCTGCTGGCCACGGACTCAGCCGACAGTGAGAGCAATCATTGCGACAGCCCCCAAGACGAGGTCCAGAACCCTGAAGGCACTTGTAAATTGCATAGAGCACGGTCGACTTCTTCTGCTTCGCATGGCTTTTGGGTTTTGGCCCCTTGCAGTTGGGTTCAACGTTTCGTTCCCCCGAGCCCAGGACCAGAGCAACAGCAAGGACGCCCAATCCCTGCGAGAGGAGCTTCTCAGGCTCTGCTTCCTTGAGTATGATCGTGTAGGGTTATAGAGCGCTGCAGAGATGGCTCTGGGTGTCTAGAAATTCAGTCCCGATGGCCTCGCACCGACCCTTTGTGGCCTCGCGCCGGCCCTTTGCCATTGGAAGGCTGAAGCCTGCCCCCGCTCCCGTTCAGGAGGTGCGGCAGGCGAGAAACTGTTTTTTTTTCCAAGATTTTTGCACATGGGGGTGAGGTTTACGTTTGAGGTGTTTTGGTTCAAGGGTTACGCGGCCCACCACCAGCAGTGACGACGACAACAACAACACCAACAACGCCAGCAGCAGACGCAGCAGCAGACGCAGCAGCAGATGCAGCAGCAGTAGCAACAGCAGCAACACCAGCAACACCAGCACGGTGGCGGCGGCCGAGGCCGCGGTGGCGGTGACAGCGGCGACAGCAGCCATCAGCAGCCGCAGCAGTGACTGCAGCGACAGCAGCCACAGCAGCGACAGTAGCGACAGCAGCTTCTGCGTGCCCCGAGACCCCACACACGGAGAAAGTGTTTCGCAGGCCTCCGAGACACCGCTGGGGTTCAAGCGAATGCAGATCGTCGAGGCGGCCTCCGCCCGTCGCATTGTGGGCTTCGGGGACCTCGGGGCTGGGAGTGGGGGTTGCTGGTGCTCAGCCCCTGGTCTCGCACATGAGCTAGGCCTAGGCCTCATGTCGGGACCCAAACTTCAAATGCCCAACCACGGGGCGGACTGAGAGTCTAGCAGCACGTCGTGCTCCAGGCCAGTGACGATGAGGATGAGGAGGAGCCGCCAAAGGTGCGCCCGCTATGCCGGTTGAAATGCTACGACGACCTCCCGGGGTTTGGAGGGCTTCATTTAGTTTAGTCTTGTGTCGGGAGTCTGTTTCGAAGTCTCAGACCCTCGGAAAACCTCTTTGCAAACTTCCCATGCCGCCAGGCACCGGCATCTCCGGCAAAGCCGACAGAGGCCAAGGCCGGCCAAGCAGCCCCGACACTGTTCTCGCCGGGATAGCTCAAGGCGTTAGCGGAGCTTGGGCTGTCAAGATAGTTTGAGCAAGGTTCGTTTCTGCGGTACTGGTATATACTGGTATGCTAGGTCCAAGAATGACCTGACCTGCGAAGCTCGAACGAGGCACCGGCAGCCGCGAAGCCCGCGGAGGCCTCAAAGGCTGGACGAGGGTCCTGGAAGTCTCGGGTGAATGACTGCCAGGCTTTTCGAATTCTGACATTTTGCCGGTAAGGGTTGGTGAGGCTGCAGTCGCTGCACCCCTACGCATACGAGGGCTTACGGGCACGCACAACCTCATGCCAGGCGCCTGCCGAGCCGTACGCTGACATCAAGTTGGAGCCGAAGCCTCTGTGCTTCCGAGGTTTGGAGTTCCTTTTGCGTGTAGCACGTGTAGATGTCGTGTGCTCGTGCCAAAGCCTTGTTTGCTGAGTTTGTATGTTCATGCCCAGCTGCCAAGGGCTTACACGCTGGACAGACCCGCCCAGGTACAGTGTCGATGGCGCCGAGAAGGCGGGCGGTGCGGTCGCCGGTGGGCTCCTCTTTCAGCCCGTCAGGGACTTCAGTAGTGTACGCCCTGTCCACTTCGAGCCTCATTTCAAATCCTTTACGCATCCTATACACACGATGTCGTCACCGTTCTTTGCTCTTGCGATGTGGTGCAGGGCAAGCAGGAGGCCAACCGCCTCTTCACCGAAGGCACTCTCTAGGGCTTAGGCTGTAGGATTCCATACTTTCTTCCAATCTTGGGGATGAAGGTTTTCAGTGCGTTGCACTGCTGCTACGGCTTGTGGACCCAGTGGACCCTGGAAGGCTTAGGAGCTATTATGAGCTGTGGGCCAGGACACTCCTGGGGTTGAGGGCTACTGCGTGTTCGAGTGCCTTTCTGCTCCCTCATGACGGAACGATGATCAGGGTTTTAGCTTGTTCAAGCGTTCCTGTGGCAGCGCTCGGCCAGAGGCAAAGTCGAGGAGTCCGCAAGGCCGTGGTGTTGCACGTGGGGTCGGGGGGTGTTTGGGGTTATTCCCGCTTCAGGATTTGTGGCAGTTAGGAGGGGGTTGGGTTGTTTCGCGGTTTTGAGTTTTGCCTGAAGGGGTGCAAATGGCCATTCCTGAAAGGTATGCTGAACATCCGGCGATAGGGCATTTTTTTCGCAACAGGTTATGGGGTGGAGTGTTGAAGGGGCTTCCATATCCACCTACATTCTCCACGCGCTACGCTCACCCTGGTCATGCAGGTGACTTGGCACAAAGTTGTCCACATCGCACGTGGCGACTTACCCAACGTGAGCATCCAGAAGTGTCCAGAATGCTCCTTGCTTTGGCAGACCCGAACCTGTGCAGCACCTGCTTAACACCAAAGCTCCAAGCCCTGGTGGACCCGAAATGCTGTTCCCTGATGTTCTTGCGCTTCGCGGGACTGGCAGGTGGTTCTCCAAAGCGATTTGGCTAGTCGAGGAGTCGGGGAAAGTCACGGGAGCGGAGGCCTCGGATGTTTCACAGGTTCAGCTCCGACATGAATTCGGACAAGAACGCAGGCTGTGACGGACCTTGCACAAGGCCGCCTAGCTTAACGAAGTTCGTCCCGAGGTCACAGCAGCTCTCCGGGGAATCCTGCGTTCCAACCGCGTCGCAGGGCTGCAATTAGGAGAGGGGTCGAAGGGCTCCATGGGAAATGGGGCTCCGGGTAGTATTCGCATCTTTCGTGACAGCCTCAGCCTCTCTCTGAACCCTGTAATTCGGCAAGAGTATCCTGTCGAATAAACTTTCCCTTCCATGCTTGAACCATGGATCCGGACTAGGTCGCTAGGTCTTGCCCAGCACGAACTAGACTGCCCTCCGAAACCCTGAGCCCCACAGAGCCGGAAGGCCTTTGCCCGGCTGAAGCTGCGGCAGTGGGCAGAGGCGGAGTCGGATTGCAGCGAGGCGGCGACGGACGGGAGTCTGGCAATTGAATCTTCTGCAAAATTGCCAGCCGCTACCCGCCAATCTTCGGGACCCACCCTCTGAGCCACACGGCCTCTGGACTCGAGACCATTTCAGGTTCCCTCACCAGGCACAAATTCCCAAATGAAAGGCCCTGACACTGAATGCCTCGAATCCGAAGGCCGGCTGCGGGTTCGGGCATTGGGAGGCAACTTTTCAGGCGTTGCTTCAGGCCTTCTCGGTTTGGGGTCTTGAATTCTTGCTTGTTAGAAGCTCCAGTGATGTGGCGCCGCCTGATTGACCTGTTGCTGCACTTGTAGGGTGGCTTCCGGCAGTAAGAATCTGAGACTCAGCCTCCGCCAGCCCACATGCTGATTGCTTGAAGACTCTTTCAAAATGCGCAGCCATATGACGGTTCTAAACTATGAAGCTGGGTGTTCAGCAGGCTCCGGGTTTTCAGAGACAGTTAGTTCTATAAGCCCTAAGAGGCTTGGTTTCCAAACTGAAGCAGCTGCAAGGCACACGCTGCGGCCACTTTCAAGCTTTGTCTCGTTTCATTGCATGGCTTTGACGCCATGATCCTGTCGACAGCTTGGCTGCTTCCTGCTGCCTTTCTCTCCACGTGGGCTTATGCCTCTGCAGAAGAGAACTTGACTGGAAACTCATCCGGCTGGCTACACTTGTGCCGGGAAGTCGCCGCATTGCGATCGCAGCTGCCTCCCTTCATTGCCAAGATGGGACGACTGTACGAAGCTCGTCAGGTTGTGAGCATCTGGGCAATACTTGAGCAAGTACCGTCCTTCTGGATCCCTGGACAACTACCATGATCTTGCTCTGTTTCAAGCGGTGTCCCAAATCCTAGGTCGTAGCTCAAAGGGTGCTTGTGCGTTCTGGCAGGGCTTAGATGCTCTTGATCGCAGTGCTGCGTCACAAGCAACCTTTCACACCAATGGTGGAAACTGAGCCCCAGATCCCTGATCCCTGAATCTCGAAGTTCTCTGTTGCGAAACCCGCGCGGCTTAGTTTTTGATGAAGCACGCAGACATGTCTCCGATCCTTCATGTCCACCTCTGCGCTACCACCTGAGGCAAGAAGCGGCGCTTGCGCTTGCGCAAGGACGCCGCGGACCACCGCAACACCTGCTTAGCACCTGCTAGATGAAGATTGCGCGTGCTTGTGTTCATGTTTGGCTTTGGCGTTCAGGCATCATGGCCTGGCTTTGAGAGGTTTGAAACGATTAGCGCTTGGGGATGAAGCTAGACTCTTGTGCAAGTCCGCTCGGACTGACCTTTCGGTCGGCTGCTGAGCGAACTTTGGATTCTGGTCTGGATGTTTCCGAAAACAGTCTACTGTTGGGGTTCAAAATTCATTTAAGGATTGCCGACATTCTGAGGACTGTTGCCGGGTTCCTGGGCTCCTTGTCTCCCTTTGTCTCCCTTTGGCGGGTTGCTGTGCTCTTCGTCTCCCTTCGTCTCCCTTCGTCTCCCTTTGTCTCCCTTCGTCTCCACGGTTTCCTTGACGCGCCTTTGACTGTTTGGGCTCTTCGGTGGTGTAATTTTGAATCTGGATTCAAACAAAATGCGTATTGTCGAGACAACAGGCCCGGCTGTCTCCAGAGACCACTGGACAGCAGGGAGACGAGAGCGAAAACCCTAAACCCTAAATCCTAAGCCCTAAGCCCTAAACCCAGAGCGCCGCGATGTGCCGCTAGATGTCACGCGGGGTCCACGTGCTTGCCGTCGGCAACAGTGACACTTCAACTTCTGTTTGCGTAAGAACCCCAAAAGAATAAAACATAGTAATCCCTATATTACCCTTAGAAGGAATAGTTTTTTTTTTTTGCTTGGGGGTTCCGAAGCAATTAGCGGGCAGCATTACCCACAGGTCTGGGAGAGTGTGGAGGTCCTGCCAATTCGTCAGCAATCGCTATTTGGAAAGACTGCAAACCCTGAGCCCTACAATGTGAAAAGCCCATGTCTGAGGAAACCCGGTAAGCAAAAGCCGCGCGCGCGCCTTTGATTTTTTTATCAGTCAGTTCTTGCAGTCACCTTCAAAGTGAGCCCAAAGAGACCTTCGCACGAAAGAGTATTTGTGCCTCCGACCGTTAATCATGGTGCGACTGGGTTTTTATATTCATGTACTCACACACTCCTACATATATCATGACCGATGGACCCAACGCTCCGTGCTCGTGAGCTAAAAACAAACTCCCTAGTAATTAAGCCTCAGAGGACGTGAATGCCACGAGCCCTCTTTGGAATGGTGAGGCAGGGACAGGGAGGTCGAAATCTTAACACCCCAAATCTCAAACTCCTGGCAAATTATGGCTCGAGGTGCCCCATGCACGAGGGTCGCTTCGGGAGTGTGACGTCAGGGTTTTGCACACGAAAAAATCGATAGTCCTCAACTCACCCGAGCTGAGTTTCGCTAGTTTGCGACAAGGATATGGGAGTTTACGAAAATGGGGGACCCCTGTATGAGACCCCCAAATCGTAGGATTCCCGTAAAGAAAGGACCCCAATAAGGTACCCCTAACATGGTAAACCCCCATATCGCGAACCTTCCCCCAGGTTCACGCCTCCTGCGACACTGCCGTGGGCTCCGGGCCCTGGCGACTGAAGCTTGAAGCCTGGTTGCCAGCTTGCTTTAGGGTTTTAGGGTTTCAGGGGTTTAGGGGTTTTAGGGTTTTAGGGTTTCAGGGTTTTTTTTTGGGTTTTCCGTGCCTAGGGACATGAAAGTTGCCAGAAGCAACGCTGCCGTCGAAGAAGACAGACTGTCGCAGTGAAGGCGAATATGCGTTTTGGTCTGTTTTGCTTTTGTTTTTCCTGTTTGTATCTCGCTCATTTCTTTTTTGGGATAGGAGAGGCCTTTTTGCATAACTTATTACGAGAAGAGTAAGTAAGAAAAGGAAAGTGAACCAACAAAGGTGGTCGCACGAGCAAGGGTTTGTCGAGATCAAGGGGCCTTCGAACTTCAAGCCAAAGAGTTCTTCTTCTTGAAATCGAGTATGCGCCTAACTTCCTTAATCTTACCGTCTTCTTATCAAAAGAAGCAGCGGCTCTTGTGTTTCAGCGAGGTTCAAGAGCCCTCTTACCTAAAAGCAGCTTTTTCGTTCTTGTCAAGACTGAAAAGCGCATGTAGTTTTTTATTGAAAGCAGGCGAGGTATGTCAAACCCAGAGCTTTGTCCGGCAAAAGGTGAGGCACAGCTCCTGGGACGCTCGCGCTTGCGCGCAGTGATTTCCGCTTCTTTTGTCAATGTCTATTCCTTCAGTCATCGCTTGTTGCACAAAGCTTTACATCCAGCTTCTGCCTCGAACGTGTTCTGCACATTGGGGGAGGGGGGTGAACGGTATGCATAGTCCATCTATAAAGACGTAGCGTTACATAGTGCAAAAGTAGCTTGTGTATCTTACACCTGTATCGTAAATCTGGAACCTTGAGAGCAAGGACATGACTGCCCCGCCGAACGCCAGCGCAGCATACCAGAGGCCGCAGCGGATGCCTGCCTGAAGCATATAATAACACTACTATTGAACAAAAAATACGAAACATAACAATAATAATTAATAATAGTAGAAATAATAATAATAGTAATAATAATAATAATTTTGAAGCTGGTGTTGCGAATGAGTGCTTGGTTTGAAGCATGGGCTTGCGCACCCTCAGCTCTGAGCCCCAGCATGGTTGTTGTGGTGAGCTTCCTCCGCGTAGCTCCAGGGATTTGGGATATCTTCCTGCTTTCAGACTGCCAGCCCTAAACCCTAAACCCTAAACCCTAAACCCTAAACCCTAAACCCTAAACCCTGACCCCTGAACTTCTTTCCTTTTGGCTCTGGCTCCGGCACAACAGTTTCCCATGAACCGCTCAAGTTGCCGACGGTGACGTGCGCTTTTGTTTTAACCATTTCTTGCTACAAGCCCCTGGGAATCCCTAAAAATAAACCCTAAACCCTAAACCCTAAAACCTAGAACCTAAAACACTAAAATATAGCCTCTGCAGTCGCCAGCTGAGGTTACTGTTGGTGTTCACGACTGCCTGGCCGCAAGTTCTTCCGCAGGTGAGATTCGTGAGCAAGCTGCAGAGCATCTATGCCAAAGAGGCGAGGGCGTTTGGGCCTGCATGTTGGGGAATTGCTGGATCCATACACAAGCTTGCTTTGTCGTCGTGGCTTTGGTCATTGCTTTTTTGGGGGCAGTCTTGCACCGTCCTGGCAAGGAGTTTCGGGTCAAGTTGTAGAGAACTGTTCAAACCAGGTCGAAGGCTCCCTAGTCCCTAGTCTTGAGCCCTACTGTCAGATTGAAACCGAGGCACTGCAATTCCCCCGACAGGTGGGAGAGGAAAAAATGGACTTCCACGTCCGCGAGCCCACTGGCAAACTCCTAGCGCGGATCCACGAAAACTTTGGCGAGGAACAGCGTGCGGTGTAGGAATTCAATGGCTTCATGATGTTCTTTTTAGGGTTTAGGGTTCAGGGTTTAGGGTTTAGGGTTCCTAGAGAAGAGAATTGCGTTATTCTTCGGTTGCTTTCTCTTGCACTGCAAGAGAAAGCAACCGAAGAATAACGCCCTCAAGTTTTGGGCTGTACACGTGCAGGAATCAACCTGCAAAACTCACGAGCCCCTCAACCGTAAGTTTTCAGGTCCATGTAAGCCTGCGCTGCTCTACACCGTTGCATCTCAAGCACGTTCCTTAGTAGGGATTACAGTGCCCTCCTACTATAACCTCTATGCAGGACTCTTAGTACGAGGGGGAACATCCCAACCTACAATCGCTTGCGTAGCTCCTCCTACCTTCAAGCCCAGTGTCCCAAGCAAACCCTAAACCCTAAACCCTAAACCCTAAACCCTAAACCCTCAAACCCTAAAACCCTAAAACCCTAACACCCTAACACCCTAAACCCTAAAACCCTAAAACCTAGACCCTAAACCCTAAACCCTAAACCCTAAAACCTCCCAAGCAGCAGGGCATCTCGTGCATGTGGCGCCAGACAAGCGCCTGCAAAGCCACGGGCGCCCGGGAGCCGGACCGTGACTGGGCTGAAGCGCAGTCACCCGGGGGTTTCCGAAATTAGGGATACCCCTCCTAGAGGTCCTGTTTTAAGATTTTAAAAGGGGACCTCGACTATATCTTGGGGGTAAGAAGGGGGGTACGCGCTATTATAGGAACCGCACATATGTCATGCGGCTGGAAACTTCATCGTTGTTCATGTAGGCTTTGGTAGGAAGCTGCCTACTCTCCCCGATGCTTGTTTATCATTCGCTTATTCGTTAACTGGAGGAAGTTACTAAATATTCACGAAGAAGCAAGGCGGGCTTTCGGAGGCGTCAAGGGTCCTGGGCGTTTTTGGGCCGGTTTCGGGTTCTCGCGGTGGGTTCCACCGAGCTTCGTGGGATCAGGCCAGCATGCTTGGCCGATTACTTTGCAGAGAAGTTTTCGACCGTTGCTTTTTCCGAATCCAGGAGATCGCCTTTGCTCTGAGAAACTTCCGGCTGGGGTTTCCGGCTTCTGCGATTGCGATGGTGATGACCTTCAGGGCCAGGGCGAACCTGGCTACGACCCATGGTCATTGGCAAGGTTTTTTGCTATTGGACCCAAATCTTGAGGAAGGCTTCGCTCCCTCGGGATGGTTTTGGCTCATTCTGGGGCTTCATAGACTTTTTCCCAACACCCTCCTAAACCCTAAGCCCTAAGCCCTAAGCCCTAAGCCCTAAACCCTAAACCCTAAACCCTAAACCACTTCAGGACTGTCAAGAGGCCCCTGGCAGCTGCGAGAGCGTCTGCCCGAACGTGCGGAGCCAATCGGCACCGAGCGTGTTCGAGCTGAAGCGGCTGCTGAGCCTTGACCGGTTACAAGTCTTTCCGGCACATGGGTTTAGGGTTTAGGGTTTAGGGTGTATGCAGCTGAGGCTTTCGGGCTTGCAATACGCCCGATGTCTTCAAAATCTCCAGGTCCGACCACCAAAGCCCTCCGTACTATACGACTGGCCCGCTCAAGCAACTGACACCAACAAATAGCCTCTGTACCCGGGGGGTTCTCCGGAAGCCACGAGCAGTTGATGTAGAAGATGCACCACCCAGAACACCCAGAACTCCTGCCACAGCCGGAGGGAACCCCCGACAGCCTCATCTGTCTCAACCCACCTCAAAAATTCTATGCTAAAGGTTTGCAGCTCCCTGCCCCCAAGTTCCCACAAGCAGCCGTCCCAGTTCCCACCGCACTCCCAGGACCGTGCTGCACCGTTCCCTCGGAGGGCCCCTGCACGCTTCGGATGAGCGCGCGTGGCAGAAGGGGGCGTCCACTTTCACAAAGTCCGCCAGCACGGTGGTCAGGTGCGGGGAGTCCCCAGCATACCGGACTGCATGTTCGATGTTCACGCCCTGGCGTGTAGTGTCCAGAATCATTTAGTTGCGGATTAGAAGCATATTAGACCGGGAGAGAATCGTCGCAGGAGTAATCTTTCTGGTCGGAGGGCCGAGTCTAACTGCACGGGAACCATCAACCCTGCAAAACCCGTAAACGGTTGTTCAAGTCTATACTATAACCCAAGCCCTTGTTCTCTAAACCCTAAACCCTAAACCCTAAACCCTAAACCCTAAACCCTAAACCCTAAACCCTAAACCCTAAACCCTAAGCAGGTACAAGTCCTTTGGGAGGAAACATCCTTTTCTCTTCGAGAGCGCGGGCCTACGCATGGAGGACGCGATCGACCCGAGGTGGGCGTAGAGGGCCGTTTCAGGGGACAATGTTTAGGGTTGTGGTTTAGGGTTTAGGGTTTAGGGTTTAGGGTTTAGGGTTTAGGGTTTAGGGTTTAGGGTTTAGGGTTTAGGGTTTAGGGTTTAGGGTTGGGTTTAGGGTTTAGGGTTTAGGGTTTAGAGTTTAGGGTTTAGGGTTTAGGGTTTAGGGTTTAGGGTCTAGGGCAAGTGTAACATTGGGCTGACTGTACACATGCATTAATAGGTTATGGCGAATTATGGCAGTCCTCGCTGCACTTGTGCCCTCGAGGAAATACTGGTAGCAAAGTTAGCAATCGAAACTTAGAAGCGACAGCACCCCAAGACACTAAGCGTACCGATCCAAAGCAATCCACAACTTGCAGGCATGCTTTCTGGTCGCCTCTGACCCACAAGTCAGAAAAATCCTCACCCCTGATCTGGGACCTCTGTAACCCAACTTGTGATCTATCAAGGCTTATATATGAAGCAGGGTATATATTACTGTTCTTGGTGAGTGTATATAAGGTTCCTCTTTAATATTGGTGAGTGTATACCTTGGGTGTCCTTTTGGGGGTACAAGAAATATATACCCTACTTCATATATATATATATATCTTATCCATATACATAATACATGTATATATATATATATATATATATATATATATACCATGCCCTGTCAGCATGCTGAAGCTGATTGCCTCACTGGATGGCAGCTCCCGCGATGCCGCGCGGAAGCTGGGCTTGAATCCGAACGTTTTCCGTTTGTGACCTTTAGACATGATTTACGGGGGTTGAACCCATGTTCCTTAAGGCGTCTATGGTTCTGGCGTTCAGGCTTGCGGACTATGGGTTCTATATAGGTTCGGACGGTACACACAGAATATTCTGTTTGGAGGTCTGGCCGTTCTGCTTGTCGGAAACAGCTCAGTATCCACCACTAGATCATGATCCCCATGTTGTCCCCTGATGCTTCGGTACGGCTTCATCACTTCCCAATTAGTTCAACCTGTCGAAGTCTCGGGTTCAGCGCGGAGGAATTGAGCGGAAGTTGATTGGCTCAGGGCTTGTGTCTTCGGACTTTTGGGGTGTAGGGACTTGGGTTCAAGTCCGATTCGGGGTTCAGCGTAGCGCAACTTCCCCTTGCTCTTTAGAGAGCTTTAAGGGAAGAACACGGAGTTCTTCGGGCTGACCTAAAAGTTCGGGGCACCTCTGAAGCTGCGCCTACACCCGACATCCTGAAACCTAAACCAACCCCAAACCCCAAACCCTAAACCCTAAACCCTAAACCCTAAACCCTAAACCAACAAGCCTCAGTTGCACTAGTACAGAATAAGAGGAGTCAGCTTCTCGATTCTGGCTTGGTGTCCGAAGTCATTCCCGGTCTCGCCCCTGGCCTTGTCTGGTACCTCCTATCGAGAGGCTGAGGAGTCGACACCTTCCGGACCATGGGGGGGGGGGTTTACAATATTAGGGGTACCTTGTTTGTGGTCCTATTTAAAAGGGGATCCTACTGTTTGGGGGGTCTATATTAGGGGTCCCCGATTGTCGTAAACCCCCCACATAGGTGTGCAAGGCTCGACAAGTTCGATGGCAAGAGAACCCCAAGAGTCGGGTTTATGATGCTGTCTGTGACACTTGCTGCTCTCTTCTTGAAGACGGGGCGTGTAGTGCAGCTTGACCTTTAGAAGCAGCTGGTAGCGCAAATGTTGCGTGTCGAACAAGGTGAGCTGTTCAGCTGTAGGACCGCGTTGACCAGATCCCCATCATGAGCCCTCAGACCATATCAGACAAAGTGTGTAGCAGGGCGCGCTGAATGAAAGAGCTAGCACCTTCAAGGCATGGTGGGTCTTGTGGGTTAAAGGCTGGGTGCACGCGCGAAGGATGAAGGCCCGGTTTGGAGTGGTGAAACCAAGAGTGCGGAATATGACAGCAATTCAGGTTTTCAGCTTCCCGATCTTCAAGACGGAGTTCTGCGAGCTGTTGATGGAGGACATGAGGTGGATATGAGGGGTCACCAGTGTAGAGGGGCAGAGAGGCCATTTTGAATAGGGTGTTTTCACCACGTCTTGGAAACTCTTCCTTCCACAGAGGGCCCGCTGTGTCAAAGCGCGTGGGAATACATAGGCTACCCAGCGGCTACTCTCGTACTCGAAACTATTGCTTCAGCGCCCCAAACCCCCTAAACCTAAACACCTAAAGCCCTTCAACCCCATATGCAAAAGTCCGACTCACTTTCAAAAAACCCCTAAAACCCCTGAACCCCCTGACGATTGGGGGGGTCACTCTCGCTGGTCGGTGCCAGGAGATCCGGCACTTCTACGGCTCCAAGCTGCCAGCCAAGCGCCCCAACTCCATGAACAACTACGGCATCATCCTCAATGACATAGGCTCACGTGGGATGAGGGCTGTAGGCTGTACTGTTTCTGGCTCACGTGGGATGAGGGCTGTAGGCTGTACTGTAGAGTCTTTACTTGAGTGAAGCACAGGCATCAGAAAGCATCAACGGCCCTTACGTGCTGGTATTTGAGAGACGCTGCGCGTCGCTCGCCTCGGCCCGGGCGGTCAGCCAACAACTTACCTCTCACACCTGATGCCATGCATCTCAGCTTTGCAATCTTAGTGCTTGCAAGTTTGCTATGCTTGTCCAAGTCGTGCTGGAAAACTGGCATCTTGGGCAGATGAATGGTTCAGGGTCGAGTACTGTAGCTCAAGGGTCCAGCCACCCAAACGTGCATAGCTGATCACCAACTTTGCCCGACAAGTCCAAGCAAGCCTTTTGTGAATCCCTGAGGACTGTCAGGACATTGCACTGTCAGCACTTTGCCTGTGTAGGCCTTATCACTCCGCAGGGTACCACAAAGACCGATGTCAGTGAACGCGAAGTACGTTCCTGGAGATGCTGCTGAAAGATCGGCCTCACCTAGAACTAATAAGACGTCCTCCAAATGGGGGGGGGTTCACAAAACTAGGGGTACCTTCTTGGGGTCCTTATTGTAAGGGAATCCTACTATTTTGGGGAGACCCTATAAGGGGTCCCGTGTTTTACCTTCAACCCCAAATGACCTCTATGCCTTTGCGGTCCCGTCGCAGGCTTGGAACCTCTCATCTTCGACTTGCAGGCGCCAAGTTTTCTCCAAGAATTGGGGGAGACATGCATTCCTAGGCGTTCCACGGGAACAATCGGACGTATGACAGTAAGGTTGTTTTGAGTTCTTGCTACTTTCCGACTTCAGGTAAGTTGTGCGTGTTAAAGGTGAAGATGACGCTTTACAGAGACTGAAATTTACTGCGGCTCGGCGAGTGCTTGTAGGTTTCAGGTTGAATGCTTTGAGCTGGCCCAGAAAAAGGTTTGATTCGGGGAATTCTCTGCCGGGCAGTTTAGAACATTCAGTTCTGTAAGCCGAAGTTCTTTCTGTCCCTCTTTCTGAGCCCGCTATTCAAACCTCTGAACCCTGAAGCCTTCGACCCTGAACCCGCGAGCCTCCACATCAGCCTGGAAACCCGATCCTCTACAGCCACCATTGGAAACTGCGCTCTGATCTTCTGCGCCCCCACGAGATGATGGGCCTTCTGAAGAACTGAAGATTAATGCTTTCAGGTCGAGCCGGGCGGTTCTATTGAGGTGTAGCTGACAAAGAAAGGCGACCGCCCGCAAAACTCAAACCTGCCCATGGGTCTTGTCTCTTGCTACCACGCTTTCAGCAATGTTTGAACCTGCTTTTCCCCTCCTTGAGGATGCAGTGATTCAGCCGCTGGCTTCGGTGCTGCTGCCCGTGGAGGGTGCAGCGGGAGGGAATCAGCGGCCGCCATGCTTGTGCTAAGAACATGTTTTCCTTATGGCATAAAAAACGGCAATGTCATCTGCGTGCGCGTGGAAGATTCGCGTAAAAAATCATGTTGCGCTTGCAGAGCCAAATCGTGTTTCTGTCGCAGCTGGTGACTAAATCAGTGCTGGGACTCAGACGCTGTGAGAATCGGAAATGTGGAGTCCTAGAAGTGCGGGCTTCTGGTCCACAAGCGGGGAGCACAGCAGCACCAAAACAGAATCCTCCAAGTCCGAGGGGCGAGCCATGCCGCAAAATAGTCTTAGCAACATCCCATCCGCAGAATTTAGGAGCAGCCCCTCCTCATCTTCCACCCGTGCCACCTCTGACGAAAGCGACGGGCCCGCGTGAAACCGGAAGCGCCAAAAACAAGCCAAGTGCTCACTTGCAAGCATCGCGCGCGCTGGCCACGTAAAGTCGAGACTCAGGTGTCAGGGGGCTTGGAGGCTTCTGTTGCTTATCGATGTAGTTTAGGGTTGAGGGTATGAAGATGGCCGGGCTTTGGGTGCCAAGCTTGACTTGACCTCTTTTCCGCCATAGGTGTGCACGGTGCCTGTCGTACCTTCAATCCTCATGGTACTACTTGGGTGGATGTCAAAATTATGGTCCCTTCTGGGGTGCCCTAAATATTCGGTGCCGTATTATTACAGGGATCCATAAAGGGACCATAAGTTTGACAACCACCCTACTTAGTGATGAGCAGTTCTAGGGGGGAACATCCCAGCTTATCGCCTTCACCCGCCTTCTGCCTTCTGCCGGAGGCAGCGAGCTTGAGTCCCACCACTCCTTCACCATCAGGCAAACTGGGGGTTTACATGGGTTTACGAATTTTGGGGGATCCCGAATATAAACCCCCAAATGGTAGAATTCCCTGATACCAAGGACCCCAAGAAGGTAGCCCTTTTTTCTCGCAAAACCCCCAAGGGTCTTTAGTTGCTCACTGCCGGGTACCGATGTTGAGACTCTCCAGTGGCATCATGCAGTCTGGCAGAAGCACCTCCGACATCCAAAAGTTTGCTGAAACCCGCTCTTGAAAGTTGGACCTCTACACTTTCTCAATGCTAATGCTAAGAAGGAAGTTCCGGGAACTCCAAGTTCAACTAAACGGGAGGCCTCTGAAGGGTCCCACGAGCGGCATGCGCACTCTCGAAGGTAAGGCCACGAGCCGTGGCGTAACCTTTGAAGCTTCCTGCCTTCGCAAAACTGACCTAACCTCCCAACTTTGAGAAGATCTGTCCGTACTGCCTTATACCCTCAAGACTCCACAGCCGAGCAGGTACAAGGGTGGACGCCTCAGTTGCAATGTTCGCTGGAGCGCGGCTTCAGATGTCAAGCCCACATGTGCGGCTCCGAACCTTAGTTCTTGGTCCCTTGAAATCTCTTGGAGGGCCCAAGATCGAGTGGACCGCAAATCTCTTCGCGAGCGGCCTCTCTTGGAATGCTTGTGCACACTACAAACGCTTAACGCTCGCACACGCGCATGTGCGCGCACGCACACTGACCCACCTGTCCCGTGTCATTGTCCTTCTGCTGAGTTGTCTTCAGTGGTTCCCCCGTTGCAGTTGACAAGTTCGCTGCTTTCGAAAGCCCGTCCTCCCCCTTGGGAGCCAAAGGGAGCCTGCCTGAGCATCAATGTGGCCATCCACGGACACTGGCGTGACATCTGCCGAGTGGTATTCTTGGCTCAGGGCTGTTGCTTGTTGCTTCTTCACGAGAGCCGAGAGAGCCGAAGCCAGGATTGTTTGTGTCCTGGTTTCCAGTGGCCCTTGTGCTGCTTGCCGACCTTAAGCCGCGCACACTGCAAGAGCACGTTGGAAGCGAAGCCGGCGAAGCCGGCACCCAGGTGGGGAAGACACCCACCTGGATGTGCACACCGACGATTCTGACATCACGCGGCTTGGCTGGGGCTTAGTCCTTCTTCCCAGCTAGCCCTTAAGGAGGCCTGTAGCTTGGGTCGCTGAAAGGCCTCAGCAGGCAGCCTGTCAGGTGGCTCAAGAATGTGGTCGAACATCAATGCCGCCAATGATGGCTATGATTTCAGGTGGACCTGGGTGATGCAAAGAGAGTACTGGAGCTGATGCGCTCCTGTCAAGGGCTGTTCGGAGTTCAGAGTGAAGGTCTAGGCAGGTACGGGAGAAGGACGGCCAACAACTTTGGTTCCTGCCTGTCGGCCCCCTGTTTCCACCGGTAGCCCTAAACCCGAAATCCTAAACCCTAAGCCCTAAACCCTTAAAAAAACCCTAAACCCAAACCCTAAACCTAAACCCTGTTCGCTTCTGGTGATCGCTGGAGGTTCAATGTCAACATCTTCGGCAACTACACGGGCGCCCCGCTGGTGGGGAACTCGGGGGGGGGTCAGTCGAAGGTGAGCCTCTAGCTCTCTCTCTCTCTCTCTCTCTCTCTCTCTAAAATTAAATAAATACAAATATAAATAAATAAATAAATATATATATATATATATATCTATACATATATATATATATATAGAGAGAAAATCTGGGGTTTCCGAAAATTAGGGTACCTTGTTGGGGTCCTCATTCTGAGGGAATCCTCTATTCGGGGGAACATATCAGGGTCCCTAATTTTTGTAAACCCACAGATATACCCTTTGTCAGCATGCAGTCTTAGGGGTCCTCTATTTTCGCAAACCCCCACATACGCATTTGCAGAGCTGCTAGGCGCAGGAAATTTTGTAAGAAATGCTCAATCGCAATAGGCAGGCAATAGGACACAACGGCATGAACCTGTCTTCGTACCATCTGATCTACTGCCGACGACGTTCATCTTGACAATCTTGCGGCACAAGCATACCTGCATCATGCACATGAGTATCATTCGGGCATGAGCGTTCACTTCACGAGCGGTGCCCGCGCACAGAACTACTCTTCAGGCCCCTTCCCCTAGCTGCTACTGACGACAAGAATCCCCCACCTCCCCCTCCCCACCGAAATGCCCCTACCACTCCTCCTAAACCCTAAACCCTGAACCCTGAACCCTGAACCCTAAACCCTAAACCCCAAGCCCTAAACCCTAAAGGTCTTCTGCGGCATTAACGGAGAGCCCGACCACCGGCACTTCCGCACAGCATACCAACACCGGCTCTTGGGGCTGCAAGCTGCAAGGGCCCTTTCGTAGCACGGGTAGGGTTTAGGGTTTAGGGGCTAGGGATTAGGGTTTAGGGTTTAGGGGCTAGGGATTAGGGTTTAGGGTTTAGGGTTTAGGGTTCAGGGTTCAGGGTTCAGGGTTCAGGGTTTGGGGTTTAGGGTTTAGGGTTTAGGGTTTAGCGTTCAGGGTTCAGGGTTCAGGGTTTAGGGTTTCAAGGAGATCTCAGACCATCTCGGACCTTCCGAGAATTTCCGCGCAAGCAGCCTTTGATCCCCGGTTGCTCTCCTTGTCATATCCTTGACTCCCCTGCATCCTGCACTGACCTCCTAGCTCGGAACTCTCGTAACTCTGGCCGAACCCGATTCAAGCCGATCAGCTCGAAGCCCGAAGCACCACTCCGAAAGCCTCAACGTTCACAGCAGCGCAGGGGCAAACTCCTAGATGCCCACCCGGAGTTGACCGCGAAACCTTTGGGGTTTAGGGTTTAGGGTTTAGGGTTGAGGGTTGAGGGTTGAGGGTTTAGGGCTTCAAGTTGTCCAGGCTGGGACACGCGGTGCTCCATCGCGGACGCCATCGCCATGGAGCCGAGGACAATGTGAGTGTGGGGGTGTGAGGCAGTTGTCTCACATCTAGGTGGGTTTCATCTGCGGGGCGATTTAGAGTTTCCGGTGCGATTTCTGTTTGGCATGTAGGGATGTGGTTCCAATAGTTCCAGACTGGGATCGTCCCCAATGAGGACATTGCAAGTGGCGAGCGCATGCAGCCTGGATGCAGTTCTTGAGGCTCGGAGAGGGCTTTTGAATCTTGATGAATCTTGCCCGTACAGCCTGAGTTTCAGTGCCCAAAAGCAGGGGTTCGCGGGGCCTGGCCATGTTAAGGGCCTCGCAGAGCCAGATTTTCTCAACATCTGGGATCTGAGAGGGGGATGCCTGCAGGATGCCCAGAGCCTTCCCCTACTGAGCCTCAACACGCCTCAAGTCTCCAGGCGCAACCGAGCACTGAAAGCCTCCAGCCCCTGAGCACAAGGAACAAGCACGAGCCACGACGGAGATCGGACCCCAACAGCCCGGAGACCATCAAACTGAACAGCCATGAGCCCCAAAGTGCTTTGAGGAACCTGGTGGTTTGGTCATACTCGCCGAACTTTCGTAGTTCCAAGGCAGCAACGAGGGTTTGGTGTGGGGGGAGGGGTATGGGGTTCCAGTAGTGGTTCAGGTTGTTCGGTTCTGTGTGGCGTTCATTGCGGAGGCTGGGGGAGTCCCGGATCATGGCTTGGGGGTTTGCAGTTGAATAAGCTTTGGGGTTGGGGAACTGTGCGTGTGCATTGCCCAGCATTGACGCACAAGACATGTAGTTATGCGTTTGTTCCCCTCTCGGGCTCTTTCTCTCTCTCTCTCTTGCCTTTTCTCATGTCTTCAGACATTCCCTTCAACCAAGAAATATTCTGACTACGGTCAACCAATCAGATTGCCGCATGTTTCCGCAGGAGAGCGAGAAAGTTCACAAGAAGGAGGCGCACTTGCCTGAACGGCATTAAGCACTTTCAAGTCTGTAAGCCCAGTGAGGCAGTAAACATGTTGCTTTCTGTGTCTGAGCGTTCTGAGTCATCTTGAGATCCACTTAATGGGTTCGGAAGTTAGCCAGGCTAGTCCGCCGCACAAGCGCTGTGCAACCTGGCTTGCCTGTTGTTGGGGGATTCTGTGAGGCCGCTGTTGACCTGTTTCCAGGATGGTCTTGGAACTCAAATTCCGCTGCGGCCAGGGTTCACATGTTCAGGTGAGGGTTCTTAACGTCTTTACCGCAGAGTACCATGGCACCTTTTTGTTTGCTGAGGGCTTAGGACCCCTAGAAATAGCCTGCCCCGAACACAATCGCCCGCGCAAGGGCGAACATAATCAAGTACTACGTTACGAGCATCCGAAGGCCTCGCAATACAAGTCGTGATAAGTTGCGAAATTGAAGTGTGAGAGCGTGTGGCGCCGCCTACATGTCGCAGCTGCTGCAATCAAGTAAGGGGACTTGAAAAGAGGAGCATAGATGTATACTCGGTTGATTCATGTGGGGGGGGCTCCGGACTTTGCAACGTAGCTCGCGAGCCCTTGCACAGAATCCCATTGTTGACACCTCTCTTTTGTGGTTGACGTTTGTTTGTTTTTCTGAGATCCGGGCGCCAATTACAGGGAAGCTGTGAGCCTCCAGGTATCGTATACACATGACCGCGACTTCGGCCGCTTCCGTGAGTGGCCTGACGGCAAGAAGTCGCAGTTCCATGGACGCGGCTGGTGCCCTCCGCGCGGGAAAGAGTACGCAGCTTGGCCTGCAGTTGCCGTGCAGTGGCCGTGCTTCGAGGTTCGAAGTCAGGTTGTTTCTCTTGCAGTCGAATCGACGGGGCAACTCATGAATCTTGAGGGTTTCGGGCCATACTTCAGGGCGTGTGGCGTACTTCTGTTGGGGGTCGAGTAGAATGTCAGGGCTTAGATACTATCAAGGCTGCGGGGAGTTTAGGATGCACCTTCGAGCAACAACTGGGGTCACTGGCGGAGTCACACCAGTCACCAGAAACCCCTAAGAACAACAAGCCGACCAAGCTGCGACCTGACCTAAGCCTCCACAACCAAACTCTGCAACCTCCAGGCATCTTCTTCCCCTAAACCCTAAACCCTAAACCCTAAACCCTAAACCCTAAACCCTAAACCCTAAACCCTAAACCCTAAACCCTAAACCCTAAACCCCCTAGGCATCTCAAGGCCCAGACCAAGCCAGGATGGCTTCGTGCCCGATGTCCCTGACAGCCAGCTCCCCCGGCGGAACGCCGAGGGCACCTGACGCCGCTCCTTTAAAATTTGCCCTTTTCATGAGTAGGGTTCAGGGGTTGTTTTTAAACAGCTCCTTTAAAATTGGCCCTTTTCATAAGTCGGGTTCAGGGTTCAGGGGTAGTCGACGCTCGTTTTCGGGGTAGAGGCGGCAGCCGCCCTATCGGTATGCCAGACTTGTCTGCAATGCTGGAGGCTGCTACGTAGACCAGTGACGACCTTGAAATTGGCATGCCCGGAAGTTGAAGTAGAAACGCAGCGGGCCTGGCCAACAGTCTTGCGACGGAAGGCGCGAAACGCCACCCCTCCCAACAGTGCCGAGGAAGATCCTCAAGATCCCGAACTCCTGTCATTTCTACGTCCTCAAGCCTCGGCCCGGTAGTGCCCTCCGATTTTTTTTTGTGAATTCGATGGCTCCTCCTTGCCAAGGTTAGCCTGGCCGGGAAGCTGACACTTCCACAGAGTCCATGCCTTTGGCGCCGTAGTGGGGATATGTTCAAAATGGGAATCTACAATGCAAGTTATAGTTGGTATAATTCGGGTATCATTAGGGTACAAATAGGGTATACTTAGGGTATGAGGGGGTATTCTCTACCTCGGGTACAGAGCAGAAGAAGGTTGCCCCGACCCGGACCGGCTGTTTTTACATGGCCAGCGTTTCGAGTTTTCGGGCACATTTTGCTGTTTCGGGCTTGCGTTGAAGATATCCGTTTTCAGGGTTTTGGGGTTGGCACGAATTTCTGTTTAGGGCTTGGGTTGAGGCTTTAGGGCGTAGGGTGCAAGATATTCGGGCTTGCACCCAAATTTCAGGGCGGGGGGCGTGCGGGCATGGATGCTCTGGCCAATGGATGCACTGCTGTCATGGACGTTGTCATCGCTCGAGCATGGATGCTCTGGCTGGTAACAGGTTTGTTCTTCCCTGAAATCAGCTTCTCGCCTAGGCAAACCGCTTGAATGTGGAAGCATAGCGAAGTTGCCAATAAATCCTCGTATGGTGAACGAGTCGCTGAAACAAGAAAACCGCAGCCAAAACGGGGTCAGACATAAGAAATAGCAGGGTTTGGGAGCTGCTCCTATGCTGTACACCTAGAAACCCTCAGCCCGTCTGCCATAAGGGTTCTGTGGCTTGTGCGCCTTCTCATCTAGCCAGTCACCACGCTGAGATGACCTGTGATCTCCAACCGTCTGCCTGCGCGAATAAGAACAGGTACTGAGCGATCCCCCAGCCTCGACCCCTAAAGTACCAACAAAAAAGAAAAAAGTACTAACAAAAATCTCCGCCCCGCCCCCCCCCCCCCCGCCCCCCCTAAACCCCTCGAGACGCTTGAGAAGTTTCTTCTGCCCGACACCGTGGCAGCGCAGACTGTTTGGGCCGCGGGCCGCGCACGAAATTTGTTAGCCTGCCCGGGCTGCAGGTCGGGCCACTTGGTGATATGAGCAGCTGGTTTATTTTTGGTCTGAGGTTTAGTTTACAGGGCTTAAGGTTTGGAACACAGCCTTTGATGACAGCGTGGTGTGCCATTCGTGTCCACACTGTGTTGTTCCTGAACAGTCAAATCTCACTGTTGGGCTGAGCACGCCCTGAGTTCTTGCTGAGGCATTGCCGAATGACGCAAGCGATGGCAGCCGCAGCATGTGTGGGTAAAGCGACGAATTGTAGCTGACAGTTGATTAATTCTGGCCGTCGTATACTAGTATATTATGTCGTGCATGTAAAGTCGAATTCCACATGCGCTGCCTGGCAGTGCCTTGCAGACGGCTGCACGTGCCCATCATGGCCCCGGCGGGTATCGTCGGATTCCTGAGGACCCCAAGAAGTCTTTAGGTCCTAGGCGACACCCCCTCCCCCACAGAGAAGTGATGTGATGTCTCAGTGCAAGGAAGCAGCACACAGCACCATCCCTTTAGCAAACGAAAAGGAGCCACGAGCAAGTCTGGAAGCTGTATCCTTTCAGGGCTCCAGAATGGCCAGCAAGTCACTTGGCTACTCTCTGACAAAGGGTCCGTGTGCACACATTACAAGCAACGGCCCCCAAAAAAAACGGCCCGCAGTCATTCGCTACGCATGACACGTTCATCTATAGAGAGTCTGCAGGATGGCTCAGGCTTGGGGTCCTCTGCGCCAGACCTCTCTGCTTGCGGGGAAAAGGCGGAAAAGGTCCACCACACAATCTTAGATCTTGGGAGCTGTTCCTTGTAAAACCCAGAAGTTTCAGG